AGCAGTATTTTAACACGGGTGTTAATTTTTCCCCTAAGAAGGGTTAAATCCAACTCAACAGCATGCAATAAAGACAGATCATTTCCCCAGTAAAACTGAAGTAGTTTCTATTCCATACAATAAGCTCGGGAAGCAAAATAAAAATCTATCTGCATAGTATGAGGTCAGTCAGGCTATGGATGGTTATTTTACATCTGAATATTAAAAACACATGCTTCTCTGTAGAGATTTTTCGAAAACTTGAACCTGCTGGTGCTCAGCCTTTCTCAAGGAATGCTGAACACCTACCTTCAAATCCCAGTGACCAGCAGACTCAAGCCATCTCAGAAGGGGGTCAAAGCATGCGGAGTTGTAACTCTGTATGATGAAAACATATATTGTTTAGACAAGATGGTGAACATTTTTTAAAAATTTGATCTTTAATCATTTCTTATTTACAAACTAATCCTAACAATGATGTAATATGTCCACAGCCCCATTGGTTTTAGTCTCATAACTCAAACATATTCCATACACAATGCTAATTAGTTTGTATTATAGCAAAAATGTTCTTAATAAACAGAAATGTGAAACGACTTCAGGGTTCCTTTTTTGATTATGCAATAGCCATGTAAAATAATCTTTAGGAGAAGAATTTACTGTACGTATCCTGACTGGGCTATCTGCACCAAAAGCGATAGACTTGTGGTTGAACACTTCCCTAGGACAGATTAATTGCATCTTGGCTGCACTGTAATTTCTGATGCTGTTTTCAACAAGTCTCTGCAACTCCAACAACACTTTCACTCATTTTCTTTGATTTTACAAGAATACTTCTCTAGGTGTATACAGAGAAACAGCTAGAGCAGGGCTCCAGTCCCAAACGGAGTCTCTAAATTGCATTCTGATGGAAGCATGTCAGGTTAACAAAAATCATATCCCAGGCAAGTCACAGACTTTGACTATTGAACTGACACCAAATGAAAGACAGAGCTGAGTCCACCTCGGAGGCTTGTGTGCCACCCACTATGACCAGAGTGACGCAGCAACCTCCAATTGCAAAGCTATAAAAAAAAAAACCAAAAACATAATGCTTCAATTTTTGGTTGGTTTTAGAAATTCGATTTTTACAAGAAATTTTAAGTGTTACATAACCATGTAATTAAAGCCTGATTATGAGAGATCACTTACTTAAAATGATCCATTTGGGTTAAAAGCATCCTGGATATTCATTCTGTGTACAGCATTCTCTTGACCAGTAAAGTAACATAGACAGGTCTGGTTTTGCAGCTTATCTACTCATGAACATATTTATGCTCGGACATAAATTTTAATGGAGGCAGAAGCAAAAGAATCCATCCTCAGTGGTGTATATTAAATGGAGAATAATGTGGTAAAAATGCCAAACGTGACAAATTTTGCAAGCTATCAATATTTACTATCCATCACAGAGTACTATATTCTCATGCAAGCATGTCACAATGAGAAAACGACATCTCTATAAGGGTAAAACAAACAGCATTCAGAATTTCTGAAAGCATTCTTCCGAAATTATTGCACTAGATTAGATTGCCTCATCAACAGGGCCAGAGGCCATTTACACTATTTTCTTTCTTTTTTTTCTTTTTTTATTTTTTTTTTATGTAACAGATGAAAGGATTACAGAAAGCTTTCTGGGGCCAAATTTGGAACTAATGATGGGAAAATTCTTTTGCTAATCCCCCATCTCTCCCACTGCTAGCAGACTCCTGAGGCCGAAAAAACCCAATGTCTTCTGGTACTCTGCTTCTACTTTGCTCATCAGTGCAAAATACTACGTACTCAGGAGGTTTGAAAAGGACCATCAGCTTTGAGCAGAGCCGTAAAATCACAGAGACAGAGCTATACTGAATATTTGAGTAAAGAACATGAGACTCCAATTAAAACTTGGACACATTACAACAAAATCAAAGGATGAGACTCATCTGCTCAGGGCAGATGTCTGCAAAGCAGCCACCTCTATCCAAGCCCAGGCTCGCTTCATGATCAGTGGGGAAACATGGGCTTTTCCAGGCCAGGCTGTGTCCTGCCCCGAGGCAGATGTGTCAGGTAGGCTGGAGGGATCACACCTGAGCAATCCCTGTTGGTGCTTACGGAGGAAGCTCGGAGAGACTGGACGGAAGACGGGCACTGGAGAGCTCAGCAACCGAGTCAGGCCTGCCTGTGGGATGCCCTCTTACAAACCTTGAACCTTACTCCTCATCACTGCTTGTCAGCCCACCAGGGAAGCAAAACAGATACCGCCAAAGTAACTACCATTCTAAAAGCAAAGTTTAATCATTTTTCAGTCATTTAACAAACACAAAAGAATTTACATGTACCAAGTCTACTCAAGTAGTAAACTTTGCATAATTAATCAGGATGCCTCCAACACTTGTGCATCTGCAAATGCACAGCTACACCCACTGGCACTCAAGGGAAAATGCCACAAGCCACCTCGAAGAGCTGGGAAGTGCAAATATCTCAACCAAACAGAGAGCTTGAGCTGCAAGGGAAGGAAAAAAATAAGTACAGTTACACAGCTGCCTGAAGTCTGTTTTGTTAACCATCAGACATTATCAGCTACTTCTGAATTAAGCCATATTTTATCATGACTCCAGAACAAGCTAAAGGCACCTAATTAGTTGCAGAAGGTGGGAACATCCAAAGCAGGCCAGGGAAGTGGAAGTCAAGCTTCCTGCAGAAAAGAGCACTTTGATGGAAAATTTGACTTGAATAAAAAGAAATACTGATGCAGCACTTAACGAAGATGAACTTCCCCTGCCTCCCCACAATACAGACTATGTCATTATCACGCAGCACTAGGAAGGAAAGAGATTCCAAGTAAGGGGAAATTACAGGGCAGTTATCCTCATCAACCTGACCGTGTAACAGTGACACAAGATTGGCACAGCGCCTGAGAAAAGCCTGTAGATAGTTAAGCACAGGGCATGAAATAAGATGTGTACAGGCAAAGTAACCCCTGCAACATACTGCTAAGGACTTCAGCTTTTCCAGTGTGCTGGTGGCAACAAAATGTCTGACCGTATTTCCCTGTATAAGAAAAAAAAAAACAAACCAAAAAACAAAAAACCCACCACAAAAAAAAGAGATTGTATAAAGTCAGAGAAAATATGGGAGTTCCACTTGCTCAGTAGCGAAGAAGCCAAGCTCTGAGCAATCTGGTTGCCCGTCTGTAGTCAGACTATTTCCCATCTTTTTCAGAATGCTTAAAGATCTACAAATGACGCGCTCTGCATGGCTGGCAGGTTTTATTCTTGTGATTCTAGGACAGCGAAAAGCAGAGGCAACTCAGTGTTTTCTCCTCCCCCAGGATCTGGCCTGCCGTCAGCAACAGGCAAACCTCACCACTTCTTACTCCAAGCACTTGGGAAAGTTTCCATCTTTCTCAAGAGTTGCCTTAGCTCAAAAAAGAGTTCACATGAAAACATTAAGAATTCTGCTCGAGGTTCTGTAACTATCTGTACAACAAACAAAACTGGCATTATTTGCAAAAAGGAGGGTTAAATGCATTCCCAATTTCACAGATGTTTCAAGGCTTCATTGCTAGAAAAAGTCTGGCAGGGTCACGCAGCAATACGATGGTACAATACACATTACCTTCAGGGTCCCAAAACCATGAGGATTTGGGGAACCTTCCCCTACCCCCAACAGAGGGAAACAGGACATAGATCATATAGTTTCCTGATGAGAAACCAAGATTTCACAGAGAAATAGTAAACATGTTCATGCTTCCCACCTGTTTTCTATTTAGAGCAAAAAAAAGCAATTAATATGACTTTTTAAACAACAGTTAATAGAAGAAACTTATGAAACCAAGATTTCTAATTGAAAATGTCTTTACTCGCATAAGGCAGAGGATCAAAATATGACAAGACCACTAAGCATAGTTTCTCCCAGCTGCGCAAACCATTTCTTAACAACCTTAAGATTAATAAAGACATATTCTAGACATTTCATATCCCTCCTGGATTTAGCCATGTATGAAAGGCAAACATGAGAAAGATGTCCTCTTACTTCACTCTCAGTTGGAATGGAGCTCCCAAGTAGTACTTCATGTTATGTGATTGTTAATACGGGAACCCCCTCACTCTGAGCAGACATGCATAGAAATACAATGGGGAAAAAAATATAGGTCCAGGAAGAAGCCGATTTAAGCCTATCATTTATTAGCAAGTAAAAGGACATTTACCTTCTCAGTGGTTAAGAACAACACAACCCAAGGATAAACCATATGGCTCAAGCCTTTGTGCAAGGGAGAAAGCTGGCAGGGTTCCAAGGCTCTAATTGAACTATTACCATATTGTAAGAAATGAAAAAGTCAGAAAGACTGGAGGATCTGCTCTCCTAGGGACAGTTTATGTCATGCGAACAATTAAGTGAGTAACAAAGCATATTTAACAGGAGAGCAATTCCACCATTTGGATACTGGCTCATTTTAAAGAAAAGAGGTACTCTTCTAGTTCGATATTGCACTTAATTTGATCCTGCATTCAATGCCATGAAACCTTCAAAATCCAAGTCATTTGTAGCAAACAATACAACATCTCTCCTTTAATCGTTGGCTCAAGACTTTTCCATTTAGTAAATAATGAAAGACACAGAATAAGAATGCTCAAGTGAAACCCTGCAATACAGAAAAGCTTACCTTAAGAACTGTCATAAAACTGAAAAATGCAAAAGATCAAGTACAAAATTAATTTTGTGCTTTGTACAATAGTCACCAGTCTTTTCTTTCAAGAGGCAGACTTGATAAAAATATAGTGTTATACATTGTACACGCACAGGTTATGTAGTCAAACACAATAAAACACGTAATGAATGGATAGAATCTGTAGTGGTTGTTCGTATACAAACATTTACAGTATCGTCTTGTTACTTTGTGGGCAAAAAGCAGTGCAGTTGTATCAGTGAAAAAACAAATAAATCACAATCTTACACAAAAATGAGGCAAAATGAATCTCTATGAATCTTGTTCTTACCATTCTGTTCATCCAGCTCATTCCCAATTTCCTGCCCCATTTGCTTTTGCCGGGATATGACTGAAGAAAGAGCATCAAGTCCAGCATCTTGCTCTGCAGCAAAAAAATATATGTAAAGTTCTATGGAAAAAACTGCTGATGTACCAAACTATAAACGATGGGGAAGTAAAGAAAAAGATCTATGCTGTGCTTGAACAGTTAAAATGTATTAAGAAAAACACATCAACACAACATGAAAATTAATCCTTATGGCAACAGCACACGTAAAATAATGTGAATGATAGGTAATTAATTTGTCCGCTCTGGCTGGGACATTTAGCTGAGGGTGTGTACCAAAAAAAAAAAAAAGCAATAATTCAACATTCAGCTGTTACTCAATCATAAATGCAGGAGATTTTCTGGCAGACACAGAGAGATCCCTGATTAGCCTTTTTAAATTTTCCAAGAAACTTTTAACATGAATAAAAGACAAACAGGTGATGCAAACACCAAAGAATTCAAATAGATTTTTAAAGCTGCAAGAGGATACAGAGTGCATGGAAGAGAGCCTGAGAGAGGGGACACAGGGAAGGCAGCTGAAGTTTGATGTACTCCCCCAGCTCTGCAGACACTCCTTTATTAAGAACTTCTGCTATTCCAGTTGGCAGGTACCACGCAGTCCTTAGTAAGCACCTTAACCAAACTGTGAGCCATCTTTACCCAAAGTTGTCAAGCAGAACAAGAAGAGATGCGGGAGGCCAGGTTGTCAGTGGTCTGACAAACTGCAAAGCAGCGATGTCACACAGAGCAAGACTGCCAGCCAGCTGCAAAACTGCACAGGGCAGCCAGAACCCCCTTCCCTGTCACAGGATGAAGGTCTGCTCCCCAGTACCTCTTCCAGCCTCCTCAGACAATACCCATGGTGTAATCAAAAACAGGAGCTTGAGGTTTCTCCTGCACCATCCAAACAGAGTTTACACCATTCTCCTGAACTGTAGCTATAAATGTTGCTTCACATGCAGACTGAAGCGGCCCTTATCTGGAGACTGATTTCATTTGATCACTTCCAATACTTTAATTGCATAGAAATTACCTCATTAACCACCTGATGTCCACAGGCTGAGGTCTTCCAACACTTCCAAAGTTAGAGATTCCTTACAGATGCTGAGGGCTAAAAATCTAAAGACCCTTTTTAGATTAGTTAATCCTTACCTTGTTCCAATTCAACAATACATCTAATGCATCCCAGCCTGAAGCACAGCAGGAATACCACTACACTCAGTGCAGTTAATGAGATCTCTACTGCAAACCAAAACCATGATTATGGTCAAAATCAGGGATGCCCTGTACGGTCTTTGAAAATCTGATTTAAGAAGATACTTCCAGTTAAGAATACTGCAAGCACAATACTGCTGCAAATACAGAAAACAACTATCTGAAACTATTAAGTTTGACATCTCCAGATTAAAACTTCAGCACAGGTTATTGTATTGACTTTCTAACAAGGGATCCTCACAGAGTCCTAGAGATGCTTAGAAAAAGCAGACTCTTCTACCTTCTATGATCCTTCTCTGCTGCTGCCTGAGATCATCGAAGCCAAGCCCTCTGGTTTCCTCAGATTCTTCCAAGAGCCATGGGTTGGTTACACCTCGTTTGATCCCTCCCGTCATTAGGCTGGATCTGAAAATAGCTTCAGTAAATAATTCTGAACACAAAATCCACTCATTGTATAATTTGCACTTACAAGACTGGCTGACAGAGACAGAAGCGTACATGTTTGCTGCACTCTATGTGATTCTCTGCAACCATAGAAGAAATTAGCCAAAAAGAATCTAATGATCTCCAACAACAAATATATCTCAGGCTCCATAACACTGCCTAGGGGTGGTAAAGCAGAGAGAGAATTCATTTTGCATTGAATAATTAAGCTACATGGTGAAAAGTATACCATATACTCATATTGTATATTGCTTGCATGCAGAACACACATCATTTAAAACTGCTACAAAAAGAAGAGGGTTGCTGGGAATATACATACTCATGTATCTGCTATGTGATCAAAACATAAACTGATAAAGACAATGAGGTACAGGCTGAAAGATTCCAACAGTAAAAGGATAAACATGTTAATCCAGATGCAAATCAGATGAGACCACTAATTTTATGCAATCCTGACCAAACCTAAAAGGGAACATTTCTGCATTTCAAAAATTAGATGAAAGTCACACAGTTACTCTTCTGCATTTCCTAGTCTAGCATCAACATGAACAAGCAGCCAGGCACACACACTCTTAAATGAAAGAGTAATCAAGTTACAGGTTTTCTTTTAAAAGAATTATGACCTGAGGCTGTTCACATTATAGACACTTCCCTGGTTACAAAGGAAAACAAGTTTCTCATGTCCAGGGCACATAAATTCAAGCAGTAAAATGAAATGGCACTTAAATATTTCTCTCAATACCAGATTTCTGGATTCCACCCTTCAGCTTTTCATTGGTTTCTCCTACAAGAAAAATATATGACAGACTGTGAGCCACTTGAACCCAAAATTGCAACTCAGATTTGGGGTAAGAGTCATCATAAGATGAGTTCCTCAACAGCAGTACAGAAATAAGAGTTTTGGCTTCCAGTTTTGCTTTTTTCAAACTTTATTTCATTCTCATATTTACTTTTGCCCTGTTCTTTTCTAAAGCCCTTCCACAAACAAAACAAGAACAATGACCATTTTTAGGATCTCTCAAATTCTCAACATTTTTTCATTACAGTAAGACCTAAACTTTAATTTTTTTTTAAAATTGAGTCCATGTCCCTTCTTTGTGAGGTACACACACACATGCTCAAAATCATTTTGCAGTCAAAACCCTGTATCAAAAGAAGTTAACTCTGCACAAGTATCAGTGGAGCTAGGAGGAGTTAATGCACCCTGCCAACATAGGGTCCAGCTCCCAGAGGGATGACTGAAGTCCTACCAGCCAGGGCATTCAAGCAAAATACAGAACTAGTGTCTGGCAGTCCTTGAGGAATTATGGTGAACTAGAGACATCTCCTGGCCGTGAGATGAATCAACACTGCTGAAAAATAATTCATCACCACAAGAGTTTTGGGCCATCAATAAACTAGAGGCTCTGTTTGCAGAGCACTACACACTTCATACAGCCAGTTACATTCAAGAATACTTAACCTCTTCTCACTTAAAATTTTAACATGTTCATTCAACTTCATCTCAAAGCAACAGATTTAGAGAATCAAAAGAAAAAGAACTTTTTTGCTACAGGACTAAAAGCACTTACTGTAACCCTGAAGTAGAACCCAGCCCACCCCACCAGGCCAACAACCAGCTGGTGCTCACAACCAACATCCCACGAAGGAGCTGGGATTCTTCTGTATTCCAATCCTTTGCACTGCCCTTAAAACCTACCAGTGTTTATCGAGGTAGGGAATCACACTTGATTAGACAAAGACACACAACTGAAATACAGTTTTACACATTACCTAGCTTTCTTCATTGCTTTGGGGGATTAAATACACTCTTGTATTTTTTGGTCTCACAGTGACTGCTACCAGGTTCACAAACCCAGACACAAAGGCAGCATTACATTTCTAAAGATGCAAAGATCGTTACAGTCCACCCACTTCAGCAGTTCAATAAGAAAGCACTCAAAAACTAATGTTAACATCTGACAAAATTACTTAAAGTGAAAGAAACAACGCTCTCTGCTTTTTAAAAAGAGCATAACTATTTCTGCCTGTTAAAAAAAGTCAAGGCAAGCAAATTTGAAATAATTTGAACCACTCACTCTCTCCCTCCCCCCTAATAATCTGCCCTATTCTTGTAGGTTGGGTCATGACAACTGCTCTGCTTGTTACAATAATCTTTTTGACATGTTTGGTAACTACCTTCCCACACAACACAGCATAACTTCCTACTTCCTCTGATCTTACCATGTTTCACTTTGGTGGTGTGAAGATTAAAGCTTATCCAATTAGCCACCCACTGCCTCCGCCAAGTTAATCACATAAATCTTTGAAACCGTCACAGAGCAGTGGAGTGTGCGGATAGCTTTTGATTATAGGAGCAGATTTAACTAATTATGAGGCTTAGCAATGCACCCAAGTATAAAAGATGATGGGTTTTAAAATCAGGGAGCTATGTCACTGCTTAACAAGGAAGGGCTTATCTTCCAGAAGGCATTGTTTCACTGATAATTCCTATAAAACTTCCCAAGTAACTTAGATTAGTCAACCAGCACTTACTTTAGACCAAGGCCACACATCAAGGCTTATGGCTTTAGAAGACTGATCAGCAAGACTGAATTTTAAACAAAACCTGGGTCATATGACAATTGGTTGGATGATCACTTGAACATTCCCTTAACGATAGTTATACAGTGGGGTTCTTTGAAGTGTCCATGGCACCTCAGCTTGGCTTCACAGGTCAATCTCCAAGGCCACAGTGAAGAAGCAGGGGTATTCTCTCACTTACGATTCAATTGCTCACACTGGCAAGCAGTGTATTTTAGAAAGTGCCAAGCTAGTAAATAAAACAAGTATAACTTTAATGTACAAAACAAAAGGTCTCTCCTCCTCAGAAAATCCCAGGAGAAGCCACACGAGCACAAGCACATCCAAATCCCCTCCAGGTACCTTCCCAGGTGGAGATCTCCCCACAGGAACTGCTCCTGCTGGAAAGCCTACAGAAGGGGCAGCATTTCCTGCACTTGGCAGAGAACTTCCCCGGCTCCACCAGCATAAGAGCCAAAAGAAGCACATCTCATATTTAAGGAAATGCCATGTTGCTCTCGACCCTCTTTACCTGCGGTGTTAACTGGTCCTGCTGGATTCAATGAGCGAATGCTGCACAAGGCAGCAGGATGCCGGACAGCGACTAGCAGAACCGGCTACTTTGTGGCACCTCCAGGACCACTAACTCCTGCCCACAATGTAGGCACAGCTGCTCCTGCCCTCACAGCACAGAACAAGCATCTCCCAACCACCTCGTGCCTGTACAGGACAGCAGGTGCCCAGAGAGGAGCAGCACAGAGCGAGCTGGATGTGTACTTGGCACACTTACCCCACACTAACACGTCCACTCAAAACACTGTCTGGGTGGGGGGGGGGTTGTGGCAAGAAGCTACACAGAGGAGGTACCTCTACACCAGGGTTAGTGTCCCCAGGGAAGGTTACCTTTATAACAACATTTACACTCACACTTTTTTTTTCACAGCAGTCTCACTTTCCTATGCAAACCCTCAAAATACACACCACTAAACATTTCCAGAGATTAATTTTGCTAACAAATATTACCATTTTCTTTCTACTTTCCATGCAAGACTGGATGTAGCACAATACTAAATATATTATAAAACAGCTTACATAGCCCTCATCAAAACAGTCTCACTTCTACCGTCCACTTGCACTCCTTGGGAATGAGAATTATGAAAAAAGAAGAATTCTTTCTAGAAAGAACTGCACCTTGTATAATTACATCCAGAGAAAAGGTCAGACAGATCTACTCCTGTGAGACTATCTGTTCATTCACAAAACGATCAACTTCATCACCTGAAACTCAACTCTGCACCCAAGGCAAAGGGGTCCCCTTTCAGATGCCTTTAAAATTCCTTCCTGATTTCCTTCCTCCCTACCAGTCACTGTTGGAAGCCCTTCTGGCTGCGGCGTTCTGAGGTGGGATGCGATTAGCCTTGTGTCTAGGAGAGGTTAGCCTCCTAAGTTTGCCCAAAACTACCTGGAGTTTCCTGCCCGAGGTTGTTTCTGTGCCAGGAGTGTCACTGTTCTCTGCAGAGCCAGCACACCCCCATCAGAACAGCAGGAAGGAAATCAGGAAGGAGTTTTAAAGGCACCTAAATAACTATTTATAATCTTATTTTCCAAAAAGCATTTGCTCCTTCATAAACAAGAGCCAGATTCACAAAAGCATTTAGGCACCTAATGGCTTATTGATTAAAGTCGGGCACTCAATGGCTATTTGGCATTAGGCAGAACACCTGTTTGGATTAAGACCAAAACCTTACATCTGACAGAAAAGTATTTGAACAGAAAAAATGGTAACCCACATTAAATAAAAAAAGAATATGGACTCTTCTAAAAGTTATCTACAGTAGCTATTACTTAAGGTGTTTTGCGTCCCACAAAATTGTTCCCCCTTTGAATTCTGAGAAATCCAAAGAAACCCAAAAGGCATGTTCAAGTACACACAATTTATTCACAGGTGACTGACATATACTTCTACACACTGACTACCCAGTCAAACAGGAAGAAAAATATTCTTGATTCCTTTGCCTCCACAAATGTTTAAAGACTCACAAAATTTTGATATTGTCATTTCTAGAAAGTCAACGTTTTTAGCTGCTTATTTTACTTCTCGCTTTCAAATAATGCAAAACCGTGGGGATTTCTACTCCATTAAAATCTGTTAGAATAACCTGCACAGATCTCTTTCCAAGGAAAAAAGAAGGGAGAAGATAATGAAATTTCCTATTGAAAACCAATTATAGAAAATTTAACTGACCCTGCTCAAGCAGAGTCACATAAACAGCACCACCTTTCCCCTGGAAAATTCCAGTTGCATCTTAATTAAGGCCGACAACGCCGGAAGGTAAACTAATGCTATACCAAAGTAATGTAGCGTCCTGCCCGGTGTTCTGGCCCGAGTTGTCAGTTAGGATAAATACTAAGAGCATTAAGGCCACTGTACTTCACAATCAGACATAGCTTTACAGCAGTTTTCAAAGGATGTAAAACTCACTGAATGGTGACCAAATATAAACGAAGATTAATTCTAGTGAAACCCTCACTGTTATAGGCCATGGGGACAATAAATTTGTGATCAGTGGTGCAAGAAGGTTAATGAAAGGAATGACTGCTGGAAAGAAAAAGACTTCTGAAAATGTGTGCTGTCACATCAGAGATGGATTAGATACAGAAAACCAATACAAAACCAGAGAAAAGTGTCACTGCTAGAACTTAATCAAACAAATATGTGCTGATTTTTCTAATGCAGTGGGAAAAGCTGACTTTCAGGACTTCAGACACACTGAAGTAGCCTTTACCACTTACTAAAATCCAACACTGTTCCAGAGCTCTGCAACAATTTTAGAGAAACCCAGTGCTGTAAAAAGCAGGTTAACCCTACCAGCAGCTGTTGTCTTCCACCCCTACAAGCAGAAGGCAGGCAGGGGAGACAAGCTCCTTCCCTACAGACCCACGTGCAGGCCAGGCTCAGGGAAGAGAGAATGGTTTGACTTCCTGACACAAGATTCAGGCCCTGGTTACATCTCTGCACTGAAAACAAGATCTACAAGGGAGAATATGGAAGGGGTGTGAAATCATCATGCAAAGAATAGTCAGCATAGTTGGCACTTCTAATTAAAGTTAAGAGAACTATAAAACTTCAAGTCTTGCAACACTAGCAAATACTGTCTCTGATGTTACCTTGTGATGAAAAATACAGGTTTCCCTGATCATTTCTAACAGAGCTTGTAATTATCATGGCATTTTGATCTTTTCCTCCCATCTGCCTCGACACCATTACGCCAGGGCAGCTCTAGGTTGAATCCCTGCCCTCTGTCCACTCCACAGCAGCCACGTGTCAATGCTGCCCTGCTGCAGGGCCATGCTTCAGAAGGTCAGAGCAGTTTATGGACTGCTCAGAACAAGTGACACACAAGAGCTTTCTCATACTGTCAGTCCCCATAGACATTATTTGCTATTTTACAGGTTTCGGTTGACTTATTGGTAGATGTGAAAACCAGCATCAATGCATTAACTGAGTTTGCACTGCGCTCTGGAGAATGCCTGGTCTAGAACAATTAATGGATTTGATCAAAGTCTACAGTTTTACCATCCGCAACACGTGTTGCATTGACAACATCTGGTTATGCAAAGACAACAAACCACAAAGTGAAACACGTGCTTTGGCTGTACCAAACACCACACTGGAGAACAAAACTGAGAGAAATCAACCTCTACACCATCTTACTGAACAGACCCTCACAAATCATGAATACATACATGAATACAGGAAACCATCAGTTAAACTTTGAGTAACTCATACTACTTGCTCCAAGATACACAAAGTAACAAGTACAAAAAAAAAAATCCTACTTTCAACAGTTACGGTAGAACACAACACTCACATTGTACTCAGTTTTTCACTGTACAATAGCTTCAAAATTGTGTCTATCTTTTTCAAGAGCACAGCACTGAAAAGGGACTGTTTCTCAAAGAACATCAGCAAAAAGGCTCGTCAATTTCTTCAAATGTCTCAGAGGTTAAAAGTATATGAAGCTTTGTTCTGTTCCAACACTGAGCACTGACATTGCACAAAGGTGAGAAACTTTCTCAAGAGGGCTCTAACACTCTCCCTCCCACAAGTAACTTTATATGTGCATGTATAAAATGCAACACTATGTGCTACAAAAAAGGTCCAGTGAATATAGTGTATTAGAAAATGCCTGTCACCTAGAAGCACAAGCTAAAATTTTTTTTAAAATATATGTATTTCTATCACATGTCCAGATCACAGAAGCACTGTTGTACCATTCAGGGCAGATCTCACTACACCACAGGTCAGCAGAGGTGAGGAAGCTCTGCTCAGCCACATGGTATGACCCAGAGCACACGTGCAGCATTGTGCAGGGCTTACAGGGCAGAGCACGGCCCCTTGCATGACCCACAGCCAGCCTAAGTCTGTGCCTGCTGCATTAAAGCTTCCCACCCATCAATAAAATAAGTGCTCAGGGCCAACAGCCCTGATTCATATAAAATTTCTGAGGATGTATGTTCACTTTTTCAAAAATGAAGCTTTAAACCAAAGTTGTACCAATTACAGTCCACACTCAAGAGTAATTTCATCGACCATGGGAATACAACAAGCTCTGCAAACTCAGAGACTGCAGCTCCGCTCCCCTTCTGCACCGTTATGCAGGGCAGAAGATTATCTGAATCTGCAAAGGAAAAATTAGGAAGAGCAAATGCAGTTACTGTGCTGGAATTCAGCCAGAATGGTAACTCTCACACAGAGCAGTATTTAGTGACCTGCATGGCGTCAGGAGGTAGGATAAGTCATACTCTTTGATAGAAGGGCTTTTCATTTTTTGCATGAATGTTGGCTCAAGTCTAAGAGATCAAAGCAAATCAGCCAATGAATCATAAGGATGCTTCTGAAGCTGTCCTTCAACACAATTCTGACATACCGCTGCCCTAAACCTGTGCTAAGGTGGTAGAGCTGCGACTCATTTGCTTGCAGAAGGAGGAGGAAATGGCAGCTTCATTTTGTTGTCTGTAGCCTGGCTACTAGCTTAGGAACAGGCTTATTTATTGCTACCCCTTTTTTCCTCTCTCTCCTCCAGCAATTAATTAATTGGGGAGTTTAAACACGTTGAAAGAAAAAGGAGTCTCAAAGAAAAAAAAAAAAATCAACTTTCACAACACAGATGGAAGAGGCAGAAGAAACAGAGCCTTGTTAGCAGAGCCTTTAGACCATCTGTAGCATGCGCAGAGCTCCAAGATGAACCTAAGACACTCTCTCAGCCAGTGAGGACGTCACTGAAAACACTGGGGGACAGAGGAGGAATGAGGAGAAAAGTGAGGGTGGGTTATGCTATTGGAGTTGGGGAAAGAGAAGGGTAACAAACCCACAGGAATCTCTCAATTCTGCTGCTCAATAAGCATTTTTAACTTGGTATTTCAGTAAGCTATAAAAGCTCCTGAATGTAAAGTAGCTGCAAGGAACTCCTCAGCAAGACACATGCATGCTCATGCAGAAACTGAAGCTACCAAAAACTCTTGAAGTACAGCCAAGGGGAGCACTCGTGAGTGAAATTCCACAGGCAAAAGCTGGTGCTGACCTAACTGAAAACAGACACAATTCAAAAGGCCATTAACAAAGCACTAGAAACAACCCATCCTTCTTTATTCCCCTGCACACCAAGGTTGCAGGACTGCAACATCTGCAGTAAAAGATGTCTTTTTGTATCCTTATATACCAAGTCTGTGCCTAATATGGTTTGTATGTTACAGACACAGCACCTGTGTGACTCCCACTAAAAACAACTGATGCATTCCTTAATTATTAACTCAGGCAAGAGGCCTGAATTTCACACTTCAGGAAAAGGCTCTGCCTTTCTTTCTGATAAGAGACCACCAGGGATGGATTCTTTCTAAGAACCTGTTAGAGATGACAAATATAACCCACTAGAAAGGGACATGTGAACTGCATAAAGAGAGCACAACTTGAAGGCTATTAAATATAATTATTTTTCCCAGCTGCAAAGGACACACCAAAATGGAAATTTAAATGTATTCTATTTGAAGGCCCCTGCTGACTGCTACAAAGTATGATCACTGGGGACTGTTTGAAGCTTAAGCCTTGTCCTGACATTTTTCCTTCCAACAATTCACACAGACCATGTACGGTGGGATCCATCACTCAGTGACTGACTCTACTAGATCACTTAGTGAGCTATTACCTCTTCCAACAATTCTTCATTCCCTCGTCCTTCCCAGCTTTGTAGACATATATGATACTGTCACTAAAAAAAGAACATGATTTCTAAGCAAATGAAACCACAATCTGCTACATGTAGAGGCAATTTAGTTCAATGGATGCATTATCTTCAGGCATACTAAAAACACAAATCACACTGTTCACTGAGGTGACAATGCCATACCTTATCACATCCGGTTCTGTGCCTTCATTCTTGTAAGATGCCTGAAGCTGTTTCTGTCGTGTGAGAAGGTCATCCACCAAATTCTGCCTCCTGTCTCCCTCCATCTGCGTGCTGATGATACTTGGTTAAGGACCAAACTTAAAAACACTGGAAAACTGTTTTGTTATACAAAATCATATCTGTTATACATTCATAAAATAAATCAGATCTCCTGATCATCAAAATTAACTAGTCACTGCTTTAACTCAAGAAAAGTCTGTAACATGTAAGAGAAGGATAGGTCACAGGTTTCTGAATGAAATCTGCTGTTATTATAAATGTGTTTCTGAAGTTTACATATCTCAAAGAAAAAGTTTCATACAGTGACCACAGAGTGATCGTCAGGTCATCTTCTCAATAATAAAGAGAACTGGAAGGCTGTTTGCTGCCAAGTTAGCATAAGTATTAAGAATAGCATTTCACCCTCCAAAATCCAGCATAGTTGTTCTTTCATTTATTCCTAAGAAGTCCTACACAGTTGATCTCTTCTGTAACACTGAATGTACAACAGTACTGCAGGGGTTAAGTTCAGGAAGGATGATGCTTCTCCAAAGAGCTCCAGTTTATACTGCTATGATATAAACGGGGCAGGCCCAAACAGAATAAAGCTTCTAAAATCAGCAGGGTACATCACATCTTATTTCACTGGAGGCTCGTAACACAGACCAGGTGAGCAGCCCCCAGCCAAGTGACAGACAAACAACCAAAAAGTTACTTTGAGTATCTGTTCCCATTTGCAATTCAACAGCAGAACACCCCAAATAGCCAAGGGTGCAGCAGAAAAACAATTCATGCAGTATCTCTGAACAACAAGGTGCCCTGAAGTGCTGCAGCTTTGACAAAGAACATGTGTTTTCTCTTTTTAATCAAACTTAGTGACATTTTGAAGGACTACTCTCTTCCAAGTATTGCTGAGTAGATTATGCAATAGCTGAACTGATTTCTGTATGTCTTCTGCCACAGCAGTATTTGTCTGCTCTGAAGCAATCACTGGGCAGGAAAGTTTTACCCCTGGCCATCAGCACAGCACTCGTGGGCCTGTGCTTAGAAAGGATTTCTGCTATAGTAAGCTTGAAATTAAATATTCTTTCATTAAACCAGACTGCTGCTGGGTATCTTCAGGGAGATGGATGTACTTCTCTGACTCCTTAAGCCTGACTATCCCAGCATTCGGAAGGAGCAGCAAATCCAAGCCAGGCCACAGGGCAGAGAATAAAACCTCCGATTTCTAAGGCATATTTTAAACTGGTTTTGACATCATTCTAAAGATGCAGTTCCATTGCTCCTTAAATCAGTCCAAGTCAGGGCTGCCACATTCCTGCCCACACCCTGAACAAGGCTTCATCCTTCCTTTTTGCAATCACCGGCACTCCTGCAGCCAGCAACTGAGCCAAGACAAAATAACCATTAGAGAGTTTTCTAGTAGACAAGCTCACAAACCAGCCTCTCAGTCAGTGTCAGCACAGCGCACAAGGCAAGATGATGGCAGCCCTGAGACTATTCAGACCATCTTGTTAAGCTTCTCTGCGACACAAAGACAACCAAGTCAGCTCCACGGCCACCAGACCAGGGCTGCCCAGGCTCCCAACTCTTCTGCACTACAGCTGCAATGAAAATATTAAACAGCAGCACGGACAAAGTTCTAGTGACAAAGTCTTCTAAAAATGGAATGAAGAAAAAACCCTAACTGTGTGGCAGAACAATTAAAGCACATTTTTCCACTCTCTCCCACAATACAGAGTGAGTTGATGTTTACACAGATACATTTGGTGTGTTGATACAGCCCGAAGCAGTAAGTCCTTCAGCTGATCAATCTTCTCTTTGAGATTCTGCAGCGACGATCTGATAATCACATTGAGCTGAAAGGGAAGAAAGAGATGTTGGGGTTTTTAAATCTGAGTTACACTTGCATAAAATTTAATACTACTACACGCAGGTGACAATATATTTAACTTCAGCTATACTGGTGTGCAGGACTCCATTCTAAACCAAGAAAGACAGCCTCAGAGCCACAGAGGGAATGGTACAGTTAACTGGTCTGGACTGCTTACAAAATAATGAGACAAATAGTACTAGTTTCGCAAACACAGTTCTAATGCATTAATGCTGTTTAATATGGAGAACTTTCTTTCAAAACTTTATAAACATGCTCCTTTATATGGGCAAAAAATTTCAGCACATTTTAATAGTTTCCAGTTAGTTTTCCAGTTCTTTTCTCTGATCTTTAATACAAATACAGGCGCCAGCTTCTTCTGCCACCAGGTTTCTTTCCCAGCTCCCAGGATTAGAAGGAAAGTTGCTACAGGTTCAGACATTCCCTCTGCTGAACTCTTACAGACTTTAAACTAAAGATCCCAAAAAAATTCAGATTTCCTACATTTCCCTTCCCAGCAGCACCTATGACTCCCGACCCTCTCACGACTGACTTGCCCAAGATTCAGATGCATCTGCTCTTACTACAGACATAGTTACACCATTCACATTCTTCCCTGCTGCGAGCAAGCCCAAGTTTTGTGGCAATCCTCCTCCTCGCTCCCCACCCCTTCCCAAGTAAGGCTGACATTATCCTCTGGGTTTTTCCTCTTTAAGTGTTATTTCTTTTCATTCCAGTTATGTAGAACATACTAGGAAAAAACATTGTAACTGCAATTAACTATGCAAGTCATCCTAATTAAGACTTTATGTGCTTCTTGTTTACAAGATATTAGCCCTGCTGTGGATTTTAATGGTTAGAAATCTCAGATGTTCTGTGTGATGAACTAGTAACGGATAATATTTGCTTTGACTCATTCCTGAGCTCTTGAAGACACAGAGGCAGTGGCCAGACACCAGAGTCTCACTGAACAGTCACCATGCTGCAAGGATCCTGCCTACAGCTAAACTGCACTTGCTACCTGCACAGGGATGGAGCAGGAGATGCCAAAAAAAATCCCCTGATAGCAAGTTTAAATCTATGACTCGGCAACTTGTTCTCAAACACTACTGAATACAACGATGGAAAGAAGATGCAACCGCACCGAGGCAGCCTTGAGAGCACGCAGCCAAAACCCACCTTCAGACCGAAAGCAGCCGAACGCCACAGCAACATTTCCGAAGCCAAGATGAGGTATAAATGCTGCCAGGAAAGTTCAAGCTGCTGCATATCCTCTAGCTTTGCAACCAGGTAAAAGGTCTTTTCATTTCACATGTACTCATGTCCAGGTGGAAAACGCTGCATTTAACTGACCCGGAATAGCAAAGTAACATAAAGGTATAGATGTCCAAGAAAGTCATCTAACATACAGATACCCTCTGCTACTCCGGTCAGAAATTGCAGTGTTGTTACAAAAGATTTCACTTCCATTAAGCAGAAACCAATGGAAGTTTTACGATCAGCTCCATAGCACAGAGTTCATAGATGGTAAGTGCTGGCTTGAAATCTTTCCCTATAGGGTTTGGGTTTTTTTCCATTTTAAATTTTATGCTCTATTTTTGCTCAGCAATAAGGGTTGTTGTTTTTTTCTTGTAATAAGCAATAAGTTGGGCTTGGTTTTGGGTTTGGGTTTTTTTTGCTAATGGCAAAATATGATAAAAATAAAAACTTGTTTACATTCTCCCTACCAGGCAAATACTGTACAAAGACTTTTTCCTCTGTTAAAACATTCAGGAGTCATAGAATATATGACTGCTCAGCCATGGATTTCTCAACATTCATTTCTGTTATGAAAACAACTCTCTCATTGTTGGAAACTTGTTTACAGTAGAATCAAACACTGCCAAATATTCATCTTTACTGTTAATGGATTAAAGGGAAACTGAACTTGGAAAACACAGGGCACGGAACAAATGATTTTATGAAGAAATAAGTTAACTGTGTAATGTTTCCATAAAACACAACCTAGGAGAGTTACAGTACCAGAAAAGCTTCAAACAACACTAATACAACATTTTGTTGTGGCTTTTTGGAACACATCACAGATTTGCAGCGATGCAAATAAAGAATTTTGTGCTCTGTAAATACAGATGGATTAAGCAGCAATTTTTATTAGTCTTCTATTGCTTGAGTGTATCTGTACAATTTCTAAAACTTCACCCTCTTGAAAGCAGGGAGTTTAATCACCACCTCTAAACAGTTCTCACAATTCTACAGCTAGAGAAAATATTTCTCTCAAATCCCACTTATTTGGGCGTTCTGAAACCTCTTTTCAATTCATGCCAAATTTGAGTCATTCATTAAAAAGCACTGATTATTGTATAAAGCCTACACAGTTTTCTCCATCATTTCTTTAAAAGAAGCACTTCAAAAATGACATTTTATTTTAAAAGCTATCGGCAAAGAGACCGGCAAAGAACATACAGCCATCGTGTGTCACCTTGCTATAAAGAAGGGCAGAATCTACAAAATAAATCAGATGGGTTTGAATTATGCAAATTATTATAAAAGACTGACTCAAGGGCTTACATGCATTTTCATCTTAACACAGTCAAGGGAGAAGGTAATGGCACGATCCCCGGGGTGTGTAATCAAGCAGGCTCCTACGCTTCTTGAAGGGAAGGATGAGGCTTTTAAACCTAAGGAAGACAGCCTCCTGAGAATCTTTTTATTTTACTTTTTAAACAGGACACGAAAAGATGGAGAACATAATTCCTGGGTAAGGTCTAACTTCTGCTTCTCATTCATATTTAACTCTGGTCTTATATTTTGCTAGAAACGTATGAAAAAAGGCTTCAAAATTCATATTTCATCTGATCTACAGAAAGGAAACAAGCCAGCCTCGTGTGGAAAAGATATCTATTCAATATTTACAAAGACAAGAGTACACAGAAGCTGACATGCATCCCAACATCTCTCAGACTCAAGATCTCTGAAGAAAGCTCTGTTCCTGGCAGCAACAGCCCTGAACAGTCAGCAGCATGTGCCCAACACTCCCACGGCTTCTCCTTTTCTCGTTTTGTAAATCCAGCATTATTGCATGCATAAAAGATCCATTACTGTTAAACCCAAGATTGTTTTTATGACGCTACAAACCTACTGTTAATTTAGAAACCTTATTCTGCCATTAAATGTAACTTTTAATCTGCAGATGCCCAGCTGGCAGCAAGGGTGACCTGACAGAGCCAGCACTAACAGGGTGCAGGAGTGTCACCCCCTGCCCACGGCGCTCTTGGCCATATCACTGTGCTGCCACACCTTCCAGGCTTCCCTCTGCGGCCAGAGGGGCAGGAAATTCAGGACTTGCAGCTTCCTAGACGCATCTGACTGCTGCAAATTTAATACTTAACCAGTAATTCTAACAGTTAAAAGCAAAGTCTGACTAACAAAACAACAATCAAAAAAAAAAAAAATCCACGTTCACAAACCGCATTGAGTACCTTGGCTGGATTCTCCCCGGTCCTTTGGCACCGGTTACGCTCCTGGATTTTCTCGGCCACCTCCTGGGCGACCTGGCAGGCGGCTCCGTGCAGCGAGAGCCTAGAAGAGAGGCGGCAGCTGAGCCCCCAGACCTACACCTTCCCCGCCCGGCCTTTGGTACCGCAGCCCGACCCGGCTTCGCGGGGAAACCGCCTGCGCTTCACCACCGCGGGTGGGAGAGCAAGCGGTATGGTCACAACTGCTCTTTAGAGTTACCTACAAGTAGCTTTTTCGGGAGAAAAAATCCCTCTGTAAGGAAAGATTATCCCCCAAACCTCCCCACCAAACGCTCGCAGCCGCCCAGCTGATACTGCCCCCTCCGGCCCCGGCCCAGCGGCGGGCCCGCAGCTACCGCGCCCCG